TTCTTCCCAAGGAGCAGCCGGCGGGAGACTTGGTGGTTAGTGACCAAGTGACCCAATGCTTAAGCCAGGCACCACCGTGGCTCCTTCCACCCTCGGGCGTCCCCTGGCGTCATTGGGGTTAGCCTTCCCCGATACCTGCATTCCGGCCACGCAGGTGCAGTGCGCGTCAAGCAGGGCGGTGTGTCCACAGGGGCAGGGTTCACTTGGGGGCACCGTGGCTTTGGGCTCGTCTGGGTGGGAGAAGGAGTGGCTCTGCCTGTGCCGGTGAGGCCTGGGTCCAGCGGGAGGGCAGGCGGGGCTCAGGCGCCCTCCTGTGTGTCGGGCTCAGGAGAGAAGATGACGGAGGAGGAGGTGGAGACGGTTCTGGCAGGCCACGAGGACAGCAACGGCTGCATCAACTACGAGGGTGAGGGGCCAGGGGCCCGAAGGGGCGGGGGGCGGGGCTCTCAGGACATCATGTATAGGTCTTCAAACGTATCTGGTCTACTGCCCCTTTTCTGGGAAAAGTCCAATGAAAAGATGACTCGGTGCGCCCCAAAGCCCACAATCCAGGCTAACGTGTAGGTATCTGCTTTTGCTGGCGCCCCCCCCGGCCGGGGGCGGTATCGCCCACTTAGGGGGGGGGCAACAGTGGTTTCAGGTGAGGCGGCGCATTTCTTGAAGGGCCGGTGTCTGAAGCCCCCTTGCCCCCTCTCTCCGCAGCCTTCCTGAAGCACATCCTAAGCGTCTGAGCGCGCAGGTAGGGCCCCCACCCCGTGCTCGGGGCGGCGAGCCGCCTTCCCTTTCCTCCGGGGACGCGCGCTTTCCGCCAGGCCGGCCACTTCCATCTTTGTCCGCAGGTCCCGCGGGCCGGACGCCGCCGCACCCACGGGAGCTCGTTCCTGCCACTAGGGGGCCGCCCGTTGTTCTGAAATAAAGACACGCTTCCTCCCTCGGCCTCGCGGTGGTTTCTTGGGCGGCGGGGCAGGGGCAGGGGGGTGGCGGGTCCCTCCCATCGGCGCCCTCAGCGCCGGTGCGCCGCGCCGAGGGGTCGGCTCCGGGGCCGCGCCCGACCCCGGGTGGGGCGGCTCGGGGGCGGGGCCGGCCGCGGGCCCCGCCCCCCGCTCCCGTAGCAACGTCCTCCGCGGAGGCCAGGCGGCTTCCGATTGGCCGGCTCGGCGGCGGGTGACGTCAGGGCCGGGCTCAGACCAGGGTTGGGCCGGGAGCCGGAGCCATTACTGCAGGAAGAGGTCCCGGAGCCTGGGCGGCAAGATGGTGGGGCCCGGGGCCCGGGGGGCTGAGGGGGGTTTGGGTCGGAAGCCGGGGCAGGGGACGGAGGAGGGGCAAAGGGAGCCCGAGGGCCTGGGCGACAGAGGGAGGTGGGAAGTCCGCGGGCCCGTCCTGCCGGGACGCGCGTCGTCGGCCCCGAGCAGGAGCTGGCGGTGGTTCCCTGGGGGGAGGGCTGGAGGCTGGGGGGGCTGGAGGTCACAGGCTGATGCGCCCCTCTTCTCTGAGCAGTGTGACTTCACCGAGGACCAGACCGCAGGTAAGCCCTAGCTGGCCTCACTGAGGTCACCTTTAGGGAGCGGGACATCCCTCACCTGCCCTCCAACTCGCGTCCTGTCATCGCTTCAATCTCCCCCCAGGGCGGCATCCCTGGCTTCTCTTCTCAAGCCTCCATTTTCTTTTCTCCCTCTCTTCCTCCTTCCCCTTCACTCCAGATCTGAGCCCCCAGCGCTGGGTGAGTTGGAGGTGGTGTGGCGCTCTGTCTCCTCGCTGGGCCTGGGGGGAGAGGGGGAGGCTATTGAGCTGCTCGTGTCTCTTACTCTGCCCCTAGCCGGCTACTTCTGCCCACTGTCCTCCTCGATAACCGCCTCCGCGCGCCCCAGCTGGGATGGTTTGTTGGTGAAGAGCAGTGGGCTGCCGCTATTTTGTGGAGAGGGTCGCCGCGGGCACAGCTGACTGTCTACCCGTCCTGTACTGGGGGAGAGGCGGACGGTGGCTGGCCAGGTTGACCCCAGTCCCTGGCTGCCGCTTCCACTTCCTTATAAGGACAGGCCCCAGACGGGCGGTGGCAGATTCCTGCCCAGAGCAGTGTAGTGCAAGGAGGCTGGGTGGGTGAGCCGTGCTGGAGGGGGCGTGTAAATGGGTGCTGCTGCCACTGGCTGCGGGGGGAGGGCTATATCGTCTCCGAGGGTCACTGGAGTCGGTGGAAAGGGAAACGATCCTCCTTAACAGACTCCGGTGCACACTGGTGCAGATATCGGGTTTCCTCCGGATGATGGAGGTTGAGTACATCGGAAGGGAGGGTGTGGGCTCACTCCTTTGTCCCCGGTGCTGACATTCACCCGAATCCTCAGAGTTCAAGGAGGCCTTCCAGCTGTTTGACCGAACCGGTGATGGCAAGATCCTGTACAGCCAGTGTGGGGATGTGATGAGGGCCCTGGGCCAGAACCCCACCAACGCCGAGGTGCTCAAGGTCCTGGGGAACCCCAAGAGTGATGGTGAGGTTCCTAAGGACAACCACACAGGGTGGTGGTGGGCCCACAGAACTTGTGCTTGAGAGCTGCCCTCTGTCTTCCTCGGCCTCCAACTCTGGCAGGTCTGCATGCAGAGGGGAGCTAGCTTTCTGTTGAGTTGTGGTCCCTGTCATCCCCCTGGCCTCTCTGGGACTCCCTGGGCCTGACACTCTCCCCACTCTCCCCCTTGGTGGCAGAGATGAATGTGAAGGTGCTGGACTTTGAGCACTTCCTGCCCATGCTGCAGACTGTGGCCAAGAACAAAGACCAGGGCACCTACGAGGACTACGTTGAGGGCCTTAGGGTGTTTGACAAGGAAGGGAACGGCACCGTCATGGGGGCTGAGATCCGGCATGTCCTTGTCACATTGGGTAAGACTTTGTTCATGCTACTTGGGTTTGTGGCAGCCTGGCACACCTGTCGCCCGATTCCACAAATGCTTCCTGTCCCGCACAGGCGAGAAGATGACGGAGGAAGAAGTAGAGATGCTGGTGGCCGGGCACGAGGACAGCAATGGCTGCATCAACTATGAAGGTGAGGGCCACTTAGGCTCCCGGGGAGGAAGTCTCTGTGGGGGGCAGGTGAAGATGGAGCACCTGGGACGTTCCCCGTCTCTAGACTTTGGCTCCAAAAGCCAGGAAGCAGGAGGCAGGGTCCAGCCCAGAAGTGGGGAGGTCAAGGGGTTGGACAGGAAAAGAGGTGGATACTGTGGTGTAGAGGGTGGGGAAGGATTGGGAAGTAGAGTAAATGGAATGTCTAGTCGTGTCCCCACCCCCACCGGATTCCTTCCCTCCAGGTCTGTGTCTTGTCTTCACCATTAATGTCTCTTCCTTCCCGCAGCGTTTGTGAGGCATATCCTGTCGGGGTGACGGGCCGTGGGGCGGGTACGGCTCCTCCCAGCCTCCCCTCCTCTAGTTGATCTCCCAGTGTTTTTCTTCCCAGTCTTTGCTCTCTGGCCCCGGCCCTTCCCCTACTACCATCTCTGCCTTCCTCCTGGCATGTCTGCATGGAGCTGACTGGGGAGGGGAGGGGTGACTGGAGGAAGTCAGTCTGAGGGTACGGTGCCTCCTCTTCTCCTAGAATGGGGGGGCATCTACTCTGGACTGTGACAATTTTGCTTTTAGGATCCTGGGTGCTGGTGTCTGGGAACTCCCCCCGGCCTGGGCCAGTCTTGCTTTAGGGTGGCCCTCTGGCCTCAGAGCATGGTTGGTCGGCATAGGGGCCACTCTGCTACTGTAGCTGGGTAGTCCTCTCCCTTACCCTCTGCTGGGCAGCTTGGAGACAACCCTAACCCGAAACTCTTGTCTTCTCCCCGCCAGTGGCTGACAGTAGCTGTAGTGTAGTTGACAACTTTTCTGCCTCTGCTGTGTTCTTGCTGCTCGGGGTGGGGGACTAACAGCTGGTGGGAGGGGAGCTAGGGGCAGAGAGAACGAGTCAGACTCAAGGTGGCTTCCCAGCAATCCGGCCCCAAAGTTGGTTGCTGCAGACTTGTTGCCTCTTAAGCTGCCTTCGAGGTCTTGGAATCTCCTGCCCACTGGTGCGCCCCTCCCCTCAGCCCTGCCCCCGGCTCACCCCACCTCTCCTTTCCACAGAGCTTGTCCGCATGGTGCTGAACGGCTGAGGGCAGCCCTTCCCGTGTCCCCAGAGCCCTGTGCCTTTTCCCGTGTGAGACTGACTGTGTGCAGTCCCAAGGCCTCCTCACTGTCACAGCACCTCGCCCTCTTGTCTCTTGGATGATGTTTGCAGCAGCAGTCACCAAATAAACTTGCTCTCTGTGCTCAGTCTGGTGCTGTTTCTCTTCCTGATCGGGGTGAGGGAGAGGAATGGGAGCTGAGCACGGGTTTCTGCCTTGAGCCCAAGTCCAGGGTCATGGGCCCTGGCATTAAGGAAAGTTTCAGAAGAGCTTGTGGGCGCTATCTTGACCTTCTTGAAGAACCTCGTGCTGGAGAGGCTGCCCTTCTGGGGACCGGGAAATTCCTGTAGAACCAAGGCCGGCCAAATGTGTTCCATCCCATATCAAGCCATGTCTTCTAGCACTGCAGCAACTTAAACCTGTCTCCACCCTCCAGTCACCGATGGCCTTCTGGGGAAGACTAGGGAGAGGTGACTGGAGCTAGCGCTAGGCCATATTAGCACTGCCTGGGCTGCTCGCCTGCCACTTCAGGAGGACGGGGCCCACTAACAAGTAGGTGAGCTGCTTAGCTCCCACCTCCTAATAAGGGAAGGAATGATGCTTGTGCGTCTGGAAGGCTACAGACGCTCACCACGTACGGGCTGTCCTCAGAGTAGGTGAGCGCTGCCCCAGGGCCCTGCACTCAGCCTGGAGGCTCTGCGGTCCTGTGAAGCTGCCCCAGCCTGGTCCACCGCCCCACGCCCACCCCATTTGACGGTTTTGGGTAACCAAACACAAGCCTCCACAAGATGGAAATGAAAGCAAATTAATTTATAAAAAAAAAAATGTACAGAAAATTTTCAACAGAAGGAAGGTGCCAAGACACAGGAAGAGAAACACTGGGACATGAAGGACGGGGCTGCTGGGGGCAGGAGGTGGGTGTCGTCTGGAATCACATCTGCCTTCATAAGGGTGAAGGGGGGGCGGGGGCCCTAAGCCAAGGATGTGACTGGTGCTCCCCTAGGCTGGGAGGCCCCTCCCCTGCTGCCCCCCAATCCCCATTTCCTTAGCCGTGGCTACCAGTCGAGGGTCTGGTGGTCTTGGCGGGTGAGGGGAGATGATGGCAGGGGTGGCCCACTGAGTTGTAAGTAGGGACCTAAGTGCTTTTTGAAAACTTCAGAAGTCACACGTTTGCCAGCCCCACAGCTCCCCCTTTTCCTGCCTCCTGAGACCCCCCTCATCAGGGCAGGGGCTGGAGCAAGAACAGCTCTGAGTGCCCTTCCCACCTGTTACCTACCACAGCAGCCCCCCCCCAAACGTGCTCCCCACCAAAATACACAAGCTCACATCAACTAAGCAGCTGACTTGAAAACACGGGCTGAGCTCGGGGCGGCGCCTACCAGCGCCAACACAGGAGTTAGGGAGTGGAGGGACATGGGGTGGGGTTGAGTGGGGGCAGTTTCTGCACCCTAGTCTATGCCCAGAGCTCTGCCCAGACCTAATTCCCTGTCACTCCCTCAAAAGACCATGTAAATTACTTTTTAGTGGGTGAGGGAGGTTCCAATTGTGGGGTTTTTTTTTCCATTCGTAAAAAATGCAGTAGTTTTGGGGAGCGTGCCCTTAGACACGGCGATTGCCTTGTATAAATAACCTTCCACAGCCCGCCCTTGGAGGGCAGCCTCCCCCGCATCCCAGCCTCCTCAGACATTGGAGACCACTGTCCAACGGGAAGGCGAACACTCCGACTCAAAGCACGTGCCTTTGAGGCACACACAGGCATGGTGGGGCTCTGGAGGGCAGGAGGAGCTTTCCTTACGTAGTGACGGAGTCTCCAGGCTGGGAAGGGGTCCCAGTGGTCTGGGGGGAGGGCTGTTCCCGGAACCTGGATCTCCATGGGAGAGGGGGAGGGGTAGAGATGGCTGGCTGGCTCCTCACTGTGGAGGGGGCACAGGGGTGACCGTGCCTGGGCTGGGGGCTGTGGGGTCTGGAGGCAGTGGGGTGCTTGGGTCTGTGGAGAAAAGGAAGAGGAGTCAGTCCAGGAGAGGGCTCCAGGCTCCACCCTCATACAGACCGGGGCATGGCATGCAGTGGGTGGCGGCATGGGGCATGGATGAGGTTCCCTTGGCCCACCACTCGCCCTTCCCAGCATCCTTCACTCCCCCTGGGAAAAGCTCACACGCCCAGGCGCCCTCCTGCCTCCAAGGCAAAGCTCGAAAAAGGCCCAGGGCAGAGCCGGGTGGTGCTCATGGCTCATCTTGGGGCATGACGGGCGCAAGCACGGGACAGGCCAATCATGCAAACAAGTAGCTACTTTTCAACTTTGCAGCCGAGGTGCTCCGTGCCCAAGGCAGCCTCCGTGACCCACCAGGGAAAGGACGTGCGTCTGCCCGTCATCCCCTGAGGTGGCAGCTGCCAGATATGGGGGTGGCGGCGGAGAGCCAGGGAGACCTACTCTCCTGCATTCGGATTTTACCAGGCTATGGAAGCGCCCAGACTGCCCTCTGCCCCGCCTACCCGCCAGCCCTCGGTGTGGCTCCCTCTCCCTCACCCCTTCTCCCCTCCTGGACCCTTCTCACCTGGCAGTGGGCTGGCACTGGGCAGGAGGTTGCCCTGAACAGCTGCCACAATGGCAGGGCTCTGGGCTGCGGCGGATCCGAGCCCCGGCCCGAGAGGCAAGGAGGATGGCATGGTGGCGGTCGCCGGCAGGTTAGGATGTAGGGGGTTCGCCATGGACACAGGCAGGTTAGGTGGGGGGAGAGTGCCCGGAGCGAACGGGAGGTGGTGGTGATGCCCATGCAGGTGAGGAGGAGGGGGAAGGTTAATACTGATGGACTCGGCGAGGCTACCAAATGGGATGATGGATGGAGCAGGGGGAGGAGGAGGCGGCATGCCAAAAGGCAAACCCAAAGGAGCATTACCCGCCACGCCTGGGTGCCCGCTGCCTGGCACTGCCCCTGGCATCATTGAGGGAGGAGTTTGTTGGTTGGGGAACGGTGAGGGGCCTGAGGATGAAGAGGGGAGAGTGAAGGTCAGTGGCCTAACATCTAGCTTAACAACTCATTCTCGTAGCGAGGGTAACCCAGCTCCTCCTGGTGCCGCCTTCCCTTTTCCCACCACCACCCACTGCCGCCACTCCGGTTCCACACCCAGCGCCCCTCGGTGGGGTTTCTGCGACTGTGAAACTAAGACCAGCTTCTCTTTCTCTTGCGGGGCAGCTGGTGGATTTGAACTGCGGACCTTGAGGTGAGCAGCAGTCCAAAGCTTTGCCCAATGGCACCACTAGGGTGCCTTCCAATCTACTGCCATCGGTAGCTCGATTCACACCAACCCTATAGAGGGTTCCCAGGGCTGTACATCTTGGTGAGAGCAGACAGCCCGTGTTTCTCCTGAGGAGCAGTGGGAAGTTTGAACGCTCAGTTCACAGTTCAACACCACCAGGGCTCCCCTTCCTAACAAACCACACTCACTGCCAGCAAGGGCGCTCCACGTCACAGCGGCCTACGGGACAGGGCAGGACCACCCTGTGGGTTCCAAGACCGTAACTCTATGGAACTAGAAAGCCTTCTCTTTCTCCCGCAGAGCAGGCTGGTGGTTTCGAACAGCTGACCTGTGGTTAGCCAGGCCCAATGCATAACCACTGTGCCATCCTTGGAACAAAATCCCCGAAGTCTGGGTTTGGGGTGGGTCCCCTGCTGGCTGGGGATGGACAGAGGTGAGCCCATCTGTGGAAACTAGGGGTGATCCTTATCTCCCGTCCCCTTCCAGGGGGTCTGAGTTGGCATCCACTCACCATGGGGTCCAGGGGGGGGTACCCCTGGTGGGACTGCCCCAGGCTGGGGGGCTCCCGCTGGTTGCTGCTGCTGTGGCCCTGCAGGTGGCCCCACCTGCCCAATCTGTTCAGAGGGGCCCAGGCTTCCGGGTGGGGCCCCACTGCCAGCAGGGGCCGGGGCCACTGAGGCCGGAGCCATGGCCAAGCCATGGACTGAGGGTGGCCCAGAGGCCCCCGAGGGTGGGAGGGGCTGGGAGCCGGGGGGCAGGCTTGGCGGTGGCTGCTGCTGCTGCTGGTGCATCTGCTGGAAGTGCTGCTGTCGGGCCCGCATCTCGGCGTACTTGAGCTGCTCCATGTGGAAGGCTTGTCTGTCGGCCAGCAGCTGCTGCCTCTGGTACTCCAGCTGCCAAGGCCAAGGCCAATGCCAGGGGAGGACCGTCACCCGGCCTGTTCAGAGCACCCCACGGCAGCGCCCTGCCCTGTCCTGCTCTGCCTTCTGCTCACACACTCGGCCTCACTCCGGGCTTTCCCACTTGAAAGCTCCACCTGCGCTGGGACTTCTCCTGTACCCCGACTCCCGTGGCCACCCACGTGGGCTTCTCATGGCCACAGGAGTTCAAGTGGTGGCGAGGCCTGGCTCATTTCAGCACCAAAGCTCCAAACTTCTGGTTCCGCTGGCCAATTTGTGTTCTTGTCCTCCTTCAAAAGGGGCCGTGCACTCACCTTTCTTCCCCAGAAGCCCAACCGAAGCCCAACTCACGCCCCTGAGCGGTTTCGACTTGCGGTGCCCACTCCTACACTACACTACACAGAGTGGCCGAGCCTGTCAGTGTTCTGGGAGCAGCCAGTCACTGTACGGTCACTGCTAACATGGAGAGGACCCACGGGGCCAGCGGGACTCCTGGCCTCGACCATGTCACTAGCCCCTGAGCCCTGCCCTTCTGTCCTCCCCCAGGGCCGGGCACTCACCGCTTCACGCTCCCGGTCCATGATCGTCTCCAGCTCCTCAAAGTGCCGCAGTTTGATCTCCAGCTTCTTCATCTGAGTCTCTACCAACAGGGCCACTAGCGACTTGATCTTCCTCTCCTCCACGGCAGCCAGATGCTAGGGAAGGAGGGAGACCTGGCTGAGGACAGGCCCCCGGCGGGGAGCAGACAGGGTGGCGGAGGCTGGCAGGACTGAAGAGTGAACTTGCTGTGGTCATGACTCCCACAGCACAGACTCGACACTCTGAAACCGTGACCAGTGGATCGGAATTGTGCATGGAGTCCCGGCTGTTTGGGGTGGGCATTCTTAACAAGGCCAAGGGTAGATAGCATGAGGAGAGCCAGTGGCAAAGGAGAAGACAGACCCGAACCTTCTGCGGCCAAGTCAGTTTCGACCCACACCCTCGTGACAGGACAGGGTGGAACTAACTCCTCCAGAAGATGTTTGAACTGCTGACCGTGCGGTTCACAGCGCAATGCTTACTCCACTGTTCCACTAGGGCTCCTTCAAACACAACCAAAAAGCCAAACTCACTGCCGTCCAGTCGGTGCCCATGCAGAGTGACCCTATAGGACACCGGAGACCTGCTCCCGTGGGTTTCTCAGACTGTAACTTTACGGGAGGAGAAAGCCTCATCTTACCCCCAAGGAGGAGCTGGTGACTTCGAACTGCTGAGCTTACAGTTAGCCACTGACCACCGCACCACATATAACCACTGCACCACAAGGGTAGTGTTAGAAGGCTACGAAAGCTTGGGGAATGGGTGACCAAGTCTCCCTCGCAGGCCAGAATAAAAAGACCCAGGCAGGCTAGCATCATTTAAGAGAGGCCCAAAGGAGGATTTCCCTTAAGTGAGTAGCCTCACCTTGGCTTTGACGGCGGCAGCGGCTAGGGCAGCGGCCGCTGCGGTGGACAGGTTGCCCTCACCAATGTCCCGCTCCACCTTCGTCTTCCGGTCTCCCTCTGACTCCACCACTTCCTTAAGTCCTTCCTCCTGGCCTTCCTTTGGCTCCTTCTCCTTCTCGGGATCCACTGGCGGGAAAAGGGAGGTGAGCGGCACAGCCTCGCTTCTGGTCCCTGTGGCCCCCCCCCCCCCCCCTAGCAGCTCACCTCCTGGGTCCCCATCGCCCTTCTCCGGCTCCTTCTCACTGTCACCTTCTTTCCCCTTCTCGTCCTCCTTCTTGGGAGCCTCACTGCTCTTCTCCTTCACTTCTTCCTCGGTGGCGCCCCCTCCTTCTCGGGGTTCCTAAACTCCCAGTGCAAGCAGGGGACTGACTGTCAGGGCCAGGGCAGCTCGGACTCAGCAGGACTCAGAAGGGAAAGGTTCCTCGAGAGGAGACCCGCATCTCACCTGAGCCCCTCACCTGCCTCCCTGAGCAGAATTCCACCAGCTCCCCTACCACCGTGGTCGGCCCATGCCCACCCCCCACCCTTCCAGCCCAAGGCCAGCCCCTCTATACCTTGGACTCCTTCTTCTCATCTGTGGCCTGGCCCTCCACCCGAGCCTCTTCAGTGTTGCTCTCCTCTGGGCCCATGGGAGAAAGAAATGGGGCACGTCTGAGACAGAGCCGTGTTTGCCGCACTCACCCAGCAGTCCCTCCCACCAGTCAGCATCCTGGTGAAAAGGGCCAGGAGTGTGGCCATAGGGCCTCATCCTGCAGAAGATAAGGAAGGCACCAACCCTCCCCATCCACACTGTGCCTGAGGGCCAGCCTGGGGCAGGAACGGCACCGGGAGCCCGCCGGCTGGGGCTCGGCTCTTGTGAAAGGGCAGCACTTTGGGGGGCCCGGCCTAGCCTCACCGACACGCTCAGGCTCGTCCGAGGTGGTTCCCGCAATGCCACTGCTCTCCAGGCCAAAGGCTGGGTCTGCCTTGCCTGTCACTTTAGCTGCTTCTTCCACTTTGCGAACGTGGGCCTCCACCAGGGCTGTGGGCACTTCTTCCTTCATCTTGGAGAACTCCTCTGCAAGACCGGGGGCATGAGCTGGGCCCAGGGCACAGGCAGGCAGTGCTGGCTCCCTCGGAGAAAGGCTCCCCGCCCAGCTCTCCGTCTGAGGCCAGCACAGACCCCGCTAGGTACCCAGCCGAGCGGGGGCCAGCCTCGTGCGAGGCCAGTGGGGGCAGCCACCAGGTCTGAGCAAGCAGCCCTTCAAAGGCACCCCCAGACAGTGGGCCAGGGCCCCTGCGCATTACCGAGGGCCGACTTGGCAGCAGCTGAGGCGACGCGAGGATCAACCACCGAGGCGAGGAAGGCCACCGTGCTCATGACGGGGTTGCCCGACTGACTGAAGGGGATGGGCTGGTAGGCCAGGGGGCCCAGGGAGGCCTCCGAGTCCTCCAGGTACGGGTCTTCGATGGGCAGGCGAAGGAAATGCAAGATGCACTCGTCCTGCGTGCGGCTTCCCACGTGTTCCGACACTTTGTTCCAGTCGTCTTTGTACATTTCCAGCGCCTGGGGGTGGCGGGAGGGCGGGCGTGACTCTGTGTGCTTCCTCACGATTCTTGGGGCTCCTCTCTCCCCTGCCCCCAGAGTGGCAGGCCTCACGCTCTCTACACTTGGGTATTTGTGGGCACAAGAAGCACCTCCAAGCAGCCTAAGAAGGGCTACCCAGTTCATGAGATAGCCCAGACCCCAGACCTGGCACCGGTCCCCAAGGCCAGGCACTCCGGATGGCGCCTGCTCACAAGCCAGGCTGGCACCCTGGCCACTGCCGTTTCCTGAGGACTCTCCCTCCCCTGCCCCCAGTTACCTCCAGGAGCAACAGGGTCTCCTGCTCCGTCCACTCGCGGGTGGCACTGGCCGCAGCTTTGCTCTGCAGGGAAAGGCGGGGCGTCAGGCGTGACGGGCAGAGCACAGGCTCGGGCCGCCGCGGAGGTCCGCCCATGCTCCATACCTTCGAGGGGATGTTCTTCTTGGTGTACATGTCAGTGCGCAGCCCAAAGTTCTGCATGTCAGCCGGTTTCTCCTTGCCTTTGTCGGGGAAGTTGAGCATTTGCTGGGAAGCAGAAGTCTGCTACGTGTGGATGGAGAGGACGAGGTGAGTGCGTGTGACCCCGGGGATCCCGGGGCAGACAGAGAGAGCAGACAGAAGTAGCTTCCTTCCCAGAGCCCAGGCACCCCTGGGTGGGACTTCCTCCCTTCCTGCTGTAGTGCCTCTGCTCGCATGTCGCTTCTTCCCAATAAAGGGGGAGATAAGAAGCCCAGCGGGGTCTGCCCCCCACCTACCAGCTCTGGCTTGCCCTTAGCCGTCTCGGGCACCAGTTCATCCAGCTCTTTGCCCTTTCTCCCAGCCTTGGGATCAGCATCAACCTGGCGGCCCTGGGGGACAGAGCTTGGCGTCACGGAAGCTGGGCAGGAAATGACCAGGCCAAGACCGTGGCGGCCTCAGGACCCAATGCTGGGCGGCCCGCAAGCTCTGGGCACTCGTGCCAGTGTCCCATGTTCCCTTCATGGTGAGAAGAGAAGTCATTGGCATGCTACCCACGTTGTCTCAGCTTAGGGTTGTCTCTTAGTGGCTGAATGAACCCTAGGCTTTAATACTAGTGTTGGCTCTCTGGGGGCGTGGGCGAGCCACGTCACTTTCCTCCTCTCAGTCTCTATGATGGATGAGATGGAAGTGACAAGAATGGAGGCAATAGGTATGAGGCAAAACTGACAAGCGTCGGCTGACATTCCAATGTCATGCACGTTCAATTTAGACCACTTTCCTCTCTCTGCTCCTATGTGAGCCTGTCTGCTCCGGAGGACATGGACCTCCCCTCCTCTCACAGCGGCAAGCCCTCGCCGTCTTAGGAACGGAGGCTACTAAGCGAGGGTGCCAGGTGCGCGGGGCGGCCCTTGAGGTCCCAAATAAGGAAAACCTCGCGACACTTCTGAAGCATTCCCCTCAAAACCCAGAAACAGAAAAGCCCGAAGAGTCCCACCCTGTCCCCGCAGTCCCCCACCCTACCTGTGGGGTCTTGGGCTGCAGGGGTACCAGCCCTGATGGCGTGTCTGCCAAGACATGGAAGTGGGAGGTGGGTGGAGGCCCCATTGGGGTTGGCCGGCTCTCAGCATCCACCTGGTAGTTAATAAGACCCCACTGTTCTAGGAAGGCATGCACCCTGTGAGGAGAGAGGCAGGCGGAGATGGGGTCACTTGTGGTGGCGAGAAAGGTATGGGCATGAGGAGGACGGCTTGGGGCAGAGGTGGGAGCGCAATGCCCCTCTCCCGCTTGCCTTGGCCTTCCACGCATCTCGCTCTACTTCTTGGGAAACCCCACCTACTCCCCCAGTGCACCCACCTCCCGAAGGCCGGTGCACCACGTCTCCAGCCTGGACCTCCAGATCCAACCACCTGCTTCCCCAGGCTGGCCAGCCCAGTGGAGCAGCAGCCTTAGACACTACTACTGCCATCCAGCAGAGGCTGCCCCTCGCAGCCCCACAAGGCTACAAGGAAACCTGAGCTCCATGGGCCTCAGTGGCTGTGAGCTGACATGAGTGGACCGCCAAGGCCACTGCGTGGACTTTGGGTGAGTAGTCGAGCACGAGCCACTGGCTCCTGCAGGAACCTTCCCTCTCCTAGGCCTGCCCTTTCTGTCTCTCATGGTCCATGCTTGGAGACCACCACTGCCAGTCCTGCAAGCTCCCCAGACCCAAACCTCTCCCTTGCCTTTGCCTTGTCTAGGGCATGTCCCCGGCTCTTTCCCGAGGTGCCTGACTGACATTTCTAGTCTGCCGAGAGTCTCTGTTGCAAAGCCCTTGCCCTCAGCCACAAGACCCACCTCATGATGGCACAGACGTCACCCGCCAGGTTCCTGCGGCAGGCCGTGGAGGTGAGGTACTCTTGGGGGTTCAGTCGGTAGGTGTCGATCATGAAGTTTCGATAGGCCAGGTAGCTTAGGAGGGGGAGAGAGGAAGACAAGGACCTGCTATCAGAGGTGACGGCGTATCCAGAACAATGCAAGGGGGAAAGAGCAACTGAGGACGAGGCTGATCCCGCCCCGACACACACACCGCGCCTACCTTGTGCTGGGTGCAAGGAATCCACCCAGGCGCTGACATGCCCCTCCTCGGGGGGTTAGTTCCTTGAACCTCCCCACCCCGGCTGTACTTGGGAACAGCTTTTTTTTTTTTTTTTTGACTCAATTTTTGAACCAGGGCCCAGAGGGTAAGAAAAAGTGCACTTGTTTCCAAACACAGTGGTTGAAGGCGAAGTCCTTATCTGTTCAAGAGGCAGCGTCAGAAGGGCGGGGAAGAAGGGAGGGTTTTGAGGTTGAAAGAGCCAAGTGTCAATCTCCATAGTAAAGGCACAATGGCCTTGGGCAAGTTCCTTTCCTTTTTTTTTTTTTTTTACCCTTGTCTGGAAGACAGTGTCTGTTGAAACTAACTGGACAGGCCTGTCGAGTCCTAGCACAGGGCCCAGGACCCTGTGGGTGCTCAGAAAGCCTGTCGGGACAGTGCTGGAGAGTCAAGATGGAGAGTGTGCGCCAGACGGCAGGGGCTCAGGTGCCACTTCACAGACAGCGTCACCCTGAGCACGCAACTTAACCCCTTCAGGCTTCAGTCTCCTAGTCTGTGAACTGGCAAGAGCAACGGGACTGATTTCTAAGGTTGATGTACGGAGCACTTGGTATTCGGTCAGAACCTTATTCAGGAAACACCACCATTGATCGAGGGGACGGCCACTCCCAGTGGCCCTATAGGACAGGTAGACTCACAGGTGTCCCTACAAGTTTCCAGACTGGAACTCTTTATGGCGGAAGAAAGCCCCGTATCCCTCCCTCGGAGTGGCTGGGCGGTGAACAGCTCTGTGCGTAACCACTACACCACTGGGCCCGCTGCCCGGACAGCAGTGTCTGCTACATAGTAGCACCCTCAAATCTTTCAGACCAAGAATTCCAAGTATGGAGTAGTTTGTGTTCCAACTCGGCCGCCTGTCACCTGGTCACTACTTTCTTTTCTCTTGAGGAGAGCAAAGCTTCTTTGCCTGCATTCTTCTTTCACCAGAAAAAAAAAACGAGGGGTCACCACACCAAG